CAGAACAATTAAGGGGCAGCAAGCAGTGATCCTCCATTGTCTCTGCTTCAGTTCCGGATTCCTGCCTTGGCTTCCCTCACTGACAGACTGTAACCTGTAGGCCAAATAAAGTCTTTCCTCCCCACCTTGCTTTAGGTCAGAAAAGCAACTAGAGCATGGGAGATTGTCCCTAAAACTTGAGGACATGGTTTTGCCTTTAATGCACATGTGCTCAAATCCAGTTTAGGCTTGATGAACTTGCCCTCAGCTAAGATGTATTAGGAGTATTTTTGAACAGAAACTGTCAGAACTTGATAGAGAAGAGAAACATATCCTATTCTTGAGAGGGGGGTGTAGGTATAGCCTGATGAAGGTGGGGTCTGAGGTTGTTAGCTGCATTTTTCAGAGAGAGAGAGGCATGTGTGCATATCACGTGTAGGTAAAGGAGCTAGGCTGCTCAGAGTGTTATGGAAAGGTAGGCACACATAATTCCAATCAGGCAGAGCCCTGGCTTACTACGCTGCCCCCTATGCTTCTCTACCCCATCCCACACAAGGCAGAAGCAGTACCACTGCACCGGGAAAACTCACAGGGTGTCACACAGTGCCATTCAGATAGGTGAGAGGGCTCTGGGACCCTCTGTACAGTCTTCGGAGGTGTCCTTGCTACCCAGAGTTGCTGGCTTCAGAATGTGGGCCCTGACAAGCAAGCCACATTTAGACTTGCAGCAGAAGTGAGCTAGGACAACGGGCAGAGCTCCATCCTAACCCAGACTGCCGTGCTGCAGGCCTCTTGCCTTCTACTCTCACCAAAGCCTCGGATTAGGGTCCAGAGAGGCAAAGGAAGACATGGGAGCTCTTTGTTGTTCTTCCCAATGTGGCCATATTAATCTAATCTCTCTCTCTCTCTCTCTCTCTCTCTCTCTCTCTCTCTCTCTCTCTCTCTCTCTCTCTCTCTCCCCCCCTCTGTCCTGCTTCTTACCATTTCTTCTTTGTATAATTGACTTGTTGAGGACCAGTTGGGGACAATTGAAGACAAACCAAGCCTGGTTTGTTAGGAGTCTGTCAAGGCTCACGCTCCTCTCCTAATAAACCGGGTAACACAGTGACACTGTCACCCAAGTCTATACTTGGGGTCCTGACACGCGGTTCAGATTTAAATAGTGGGCAAGAGCTCTGTATAACCACACCTGGTCAAAGTGTGGTCCCAAACATCATCATTATCTTCAGTCCAGTCTCACCTACCAGGTGGTCTGACCAGTGTTCAGAACTGTGTGAAATCTCTTCCCAGAGGACAAGTTCCCCATCTAGCTGACACCAGCTCCCCCTTCTCTATCATGAGATTCCTGGAAAATTCCAGTTCCCTTCATTGTTTCGGTAGTCTGAGATCCAAAAAGAGAGAGGTACACATGTCTTCATTCCTGCCAGGATGGTTACGCCCTTTCCTGGGAACGTGTGGTCCCTTCCCTAGCAATGTGGTCTGGAGGGCCGGAAGGCTGGATTTCGGTGCCCGAACACAGGAAGGTCTGTCTTTGTATGGCTGCCATGGTAAGATTGAAGGTTGCTGGCTGGCAATGCCCTCACCCATGCCTACTGCAGCATTCTACAGTTGGTCCCAAAGTGATGAGCCTTCCTCATAGACAGAGTCAACCAGCGGTTTCTTCTACTGGCAAATAACTTGCAAGCAAAACAGAAGCCCTGGATGGTTTTTAACTATACTAGCCATTTTCTGTTTGCTTTCTACTGTGTGTTAAGTTTTATTACAGTATTTGTGGGAAAATAGAAAAACTAATGTTATTTTTAATTTTTATGACATTTTTATTCGTGTGTCTGTGCATACATGCATGGGTGTATGTGTGTGCGTATGCGTGTATGTGTGTCTACAAAAGCACACAAATAGAGGTCAGAAGACAACCTATGAGAGTTGGCTCTCTCCTTCCACCCCGTGGATCCCAGGGACCCAGCTCGGGTCATCAGCTGTGATAATAAGTACCTTCACCCTCGGAGTCATCTCACTGGTCCACAAGTATTGTTTTTATTTTTAGGGAACAGTCTGCTTGGTCTGACACAAAAGGAAGGTCTTGCTAGATTTAGTTTTGAGGATACCACACCCTACTCTTGGTTCTCAGCATCTGCCTTACTTATGGCTCCCATTAGAGTTTCCAAGTCTTTCCACTTTCTGAATTTCACCCTGGAAATTCAGACAAGGCTGATGTTCATCCCTGTCAGTAAGTCTTAGTGAATGCTGGGTTTTCCTCTAGCACTTCTGTTTAACACAGAATAGACGTGGGTGGAGAGCCCAGACCCACTTCCTTAAATCCATGTAGAGATTATATTCTCAGCCAAACTCTCTTGAACTTTCCACCCATACCGTTTCCCTAAATCTCTCTCTTGCAACTGCACTTCCTGTGGGGTGCCATCCGCATTCTCCTCCCCCCCAGTCAGAGGTAGGGATGGGATGGTGTGGTCCATGGACAGGCATCCCTTACGCTGCTGGGGAACTCTATTTGAGCATGGGATGGAAGCCTGAGCAGCAGAGGACCCTAGGCTGTGTTCCGAGATGGCTTGCACTAACACACTGGTGTGCCTCGGAGGCTTTGAAGATCAACCATATGGGGCACGCTTGATACATAATAGATCACATGTTTAAAATCCCCAGTTTGGTAAGTTTGGTAAGTTGGTAAGGCACATGTAACGGCTAGTGAAAACAGCACAGATAACAAACATATCCACTAGGCCCCTAATGTCCTTGTACTCTTCGCATTGTATCCCATACCCTCCTAATTAAGCATCCTTAACACCCACTGACCAAGTTAGTTTGTGTTTTCTAAAATTGTATCGAAATAAAAATAAACATATCAGAAATTTAAAATGTCTAACTGAGCTGAAGTCATCTGTTGCTCTGCCTTTTAGGACTTCACACCTGAAGCTGTGGGATCCCGCAGTCTGCTCCTGTTTCTCCATCCATCTGTTGAGGGGCAGGTGGATCAGCAGCACTTTACGACTATATAAATACAGCTTTTGTGAAGGTCCATGTACGGTGTGTGTACAGGCAGGTTTTCATCCTCATTTTTCTTGGGTAAGCATTTAAAAGTGGAATGACGGGGGCTGGAGAAATGACTCAGTGGTTAAGAGCACTGACCGCTCTTTCAGAGATTCTGGGGTCCTGAGTTCAATACCAACAAGTGCACGGTGGCTCACAACCATCTAGAATAGGATCTAATCCTCTCTTCTGGTGTGTAGGCATAAATGCAGGCAGAGCACTCATAGACTTAAAATAAAAAGGTACATAAATAAATAAAATTTAACAAGGAGAAGAGGAATGACTGGTAACTAGGAAACTTGCATCTCTCCCCAAACTGGTTGTGTCATTTTAAATTCTCCCCAGCAGGGTACAAGAATTCCAGCTTTAGTTACTTGGAGATGCCATCATCAGTTTCTTTCTTTCAAAACTTCTTTTAGATGTGTACGCTGGGGCTGGGGCTGGGGAGTGACACGTGCGCGCATGCCAGTGTGTGTGTGTGTGTGTGTGTGTGCGCATGTACAAGCACACACGTGGAAGTTGGAGGACACTTTTTCAGAGTTCGCTCTCTCCTCCCTCTCTGCTGGCTCCAGAGGTTGAACTCAGGCCACCAGGCTAACACAGCAAGTTCCTTCAGTCATGGAGCCGGGTGCTGGCCTTCTTTTCTTTTTCCTTCCTTCTGTGATGATGATGACCGCCATTGACCTATGACCCGGGAGAATCCTTTGTCCTGGAAAGGACCCCTGGGTGAATGCTCTCCTTATTCTCTGCCTGTGCTCGCCCCCAACTTCCTTTGAGGCCTGTGTCCCCATCTTAACCCTAGAAGAAGAGCTGTGGCCACAAGCCCTCAGCCCGGATGGAGTGTGGTGTCCAGCTCTGAACTCCAGAGGCAGAGAGAGGGGCCATTCAGAGATCTCAGGTGTAGCATGTAACCTGGGTAAAGAGCTGGCCTTGCTGCCTGGCGGGTGGAAGCCTGCCGTGTAACTCAGCTACAAAAGGAAGTGGAAATTCTTTGCAGTCAGAGGCTAATGAGGCCCGAGGTATGTGTTATATTTCAAAGGTCACAGCGCTCATTTAATCCAACGTTTCTAGACATACTTTGACATCTACTCTCATTAGGTTTCCGCCTTTGTGTTACAGTCAGCAGCAAGTGACTCTAAAACCTTGGAAGACCCATGGGCTGGAAGAACCAGGGAAGCTTGGGTATGGTGGCTAGCCGCCGTGGGTACCCACAGGACCGATCACCTTACCTTTGGTTTCCACAGCCTCCGTCATGAAGTCAGTTCTTTTCATGGCCTGAGGGAGCATGTGCCTGAAAAACTGCTTCTATGCTAATGTTTGCTTCTAAGTTGTGCACCATGGAGCTGGGCATGGGGGCATATGCCTTTAGTCCCAGGATTTAGGAGGCAGGGGAATCTCTGAATTCAAGGCCAGCCTGGTCTATAAAGAAAGTTCCAGGACAGCCTGCAACGCTACATAGAGAAATTCTGTCTCAAAAAAAAAAAAAAAAAAAAAAAAAGTGCGCAACCATGCTAGGTCCATGCTGCACCGGAGACCAAAGACTGCGAGGCAAGGCTGACCTTCTACCAACTGAACTACACCCCAACCTTCAAACTGGGCTTTAGAAATACATATTCATTTGTTCAACAGGAACAAAAACCAAGTTGGGGAGGTCTTGTTGTGCTGCCCAGGTTACCATTACATTTGTGGAAATCCTTCTGCCTCAGCCTCCTAGGGTGCTGGGATTACAGATATATATATGCCATCACCCCTGGCTGATAATTATGAATGCCTGGCACACTTGGACAACTTAGAGGTTCTAGGGCAGTGATCTCTGGGTTTGCTCTTGGTTCTACCGCTTTGTAGTTATGTAACATTGGACAAATGACCAAGCCTCCGTTTCTTAGAGCTACGGGACTAAAAGCGCCCACACTATAGACAAGCAGTGAGAAGGAAGATGAAGTTCACCTTTATAAACAGCTTAGCCCCGTGCCAGAGACAAACCCAATAGTTACAAATAAATATTTATTAACCAGTCCTCTTTCTTCTTATATTCTATTTTTGTACAAACATGTAAAAATTCCATAAAATAATCCAAAGAGACAGGAATATCGATGTTTATGTATCCTGCCTCTGAGGCACACTATGGTAGAGTTCAATTGTCTGGTCATGACCACTCCTTGGCGTAGCTCGCTGAGAGTTCCCGTGCCTTTGAAACGGGGCATCATTGCACCTCGGGAACAGGCTGCAGAGATATTTCGTGAAAGCCTTGTTAAGAAGCAAGCAAATGAGAGGGTTAACACAGCAGTGGGCGGTGGCAATGAGCTGTGTGACCTGAATGCTTGCTTCCAGGTGGTAGCTGTTCTCATCCTGCAGGGACGAGTGTTCCCGGAACTCGAACAGGAAAAGCACAACACAGTACGGTGCCCACATCCAAAGGAACACACCCGTTATGACGAGCGCAAGCTTTCGAAGATCGTTCTGCCTCTCCCTGGTGGTCTGCGTTTTCCTCATTTGCCCACAGCAGAAAATAAACACCAACAGAGGAAAACCAAGAACCAAAATGTTCATCTTTAAAGTCAGAAAATGCTTCCAGAATGGCTCTTCAATTGGCAAAAAGTGAGGTTTGCCAAAGGCACACTTGGGTTTCTCTCTTTCCCTCTGAGGCCGATAGAGCACAGATTCAGGCAAAGAGAGTGCAATAGCTATGACCCATGCCAGGATACTTGTAACAACACTACCAGGCACCGATGTGAGGGTGGAGGCCAGCCTCCCCTGGGAAAACACCTTGTACCCTTGCACGAGGAGAAGGATGTTGAAAAACGTCTCGCTGTATAAGCCTGTGGAATGGAGGCCAACAAGAACGCTACAAGTCCCATTGCCAGGGCTTTCCCCAAGGGCAGCCGCGTGTGCCCAGAACGGCAGGGGGAACAGAAAACACAAATTCGCAGCTGCCAGGTTTAGAAGGTAGATGGTCCCCACATTCTTGAGTCCTTTGTATCGCACCAGCATAAACGCAGCCAAGGCGTTGTCCAGGAGACCCACCGCAAACACAGCGCAGCAGAACCGTAGTACCTGCTGGGCGGAGACAAGCTCGGGGATGAGGGGTTTCTCTGTCACACAACAGTCCAGGTCATCCTTTATGAAAACATCATAGTCGTCCTCTGGGGCCACCGTGGAATTATCCATCTCGGGCTGCCCTGTGGGGAAATCAGAGATTATGTCTCCCCTCCATCCTAGAGCAAAAGGTTTGAAGTAAGTCTGCCCCCGCTCCCACAGTGGCGGCTGTGCTCATTCTACTCATTAGGAGCCCATAACATACCTTAAAATAATCTACAACACCCAGGGTCTGTGCTGGGAATGTGACAGCTCTGCCAGGCACAAAAGGACGCGGGGACATTACAGTCACTTCATTTCTTTTGGTTAAAATGAGATTCGCTTACTAGGAGCTAGGATCTAAGAAGACAAAGAGTTAAAAAACAACCTGAGAAGTCGGTGCCCCTCCTACTTCCCAGCTATTAAAAAAAAAAGTTTCCTTACCTTGCTCACGGCTTGAAATGAAACAGCTAAAGCAGCGGCGCGGCGGTCTTGGGGCAGGCTGCTTGATATTTTCCTCTCCAGGGACATAAACAGATGTTTGCAAAAGTGAAACCGTACTGGCCAAACACGTGGACAACTAGCGAGATAAAGATAACCACTTGACTGAGTTCCCAAGAGTGGAGAAGGGTACAGCCCCAAGATCTGCCATCCAGGGGGCTGTGGGAACACTGGGGTCAAGGAAACAGCACTTCCTTCTGGACAGACTGCTCCTGACCCCAAGGAGCTAGAGACAGCACTGTTTATCCCTCGGAGGCTGGCCCCTTCCAGGCACAGCTTCAAGAGCCAGCTGGAATGAAGTTCTGAAGTCTCTCTCAGGAGCCTCTGTCAGCCTCGGAGAAACTGAGAAGTTGCTTTCGTCTCTCCCTTTCCCAGTATCCCATGTTTGACTTCCAGGTACCTTTTAGCCAGCTGTCCTCCAGGCTGTCTCAGATAAGGGTGCTAAGTCAAGCCTGCTCCCAGTGATAATAAGAGGGTGACGTCAGAAGCTGCGCTCCGCCGCCCCGCCTCCTGGGTTTCAGACAGAAGTTCTCTGAGTAGATAACAGCTTCCAGAGCGCGAAAGTGTCCATACTCACCAAAGTCCTGACCCTCAAAGGCAGCTGTCCCAGCACCGGTGACCTGCAGGGAAGAACAGGGAGTGGTGGGTGTTGGGTTTTGTTTGTTTGTTTTCCTGCTGTCTTTGAGAAGAGCTATGTGCTTTTCCTGTTGAACAGAGTGCTAAAAATGATCTGGGGAGCTCGGGCGCTGGAGGGACGTCAGCAGGAAAAGAAATTGGGAACAGGGTGGGGCGGAGAAGGAGCGTCGACCTCCCTGCTGAGGAAAGTAGAGAGCCGCAGGCAGCCGGAAGGAAGCAGTGGCCACTGGACCGCGGACCTGCTCAGGGGAAGCCCCAGAAGAAAATCCTGTGTGAGGGTGTGTGGGCACGATCAGGGAGGAGATGAAGCTTAACTTCACCTGGAGGACGGGGATGACGACAGGCTTTGGAGTGGCGGGAAAGGGCAGAGGAGAGAGATGCCGCTTGAAGATGAGGATTGTAGAACAGGAACCTGGAAGAGCTGGAAAAAAAATATACGAACTGCCCAAAGGGCAAGGACTCTTTGCAACCATAACTGAACTAATCTGGGGGTCAGTTGATGTTTCCTTTGCATTAGCAACAATGGGTCTGATACACGTGATACCAAAAGTGAACCTATAAAAGTAGAAATCGATACTGAGGAGACTAGTAAGAAAGAACAGAGCCCAGATAAGCAGAATTGAGCTTTAAGCTCCTAGCATCCAGGCAGAAACAGAGACACGGGTTGGTACGGTGAGAACCCAGAATGGAGGAGCTTCCCAATAAGGCCTCTCCCCTGCAGGAGAGAGCATTTAGGGGTGAGTGGGACTCGCCAGGCCTTAGGATGCTCTGTCTATTCGTGGATGTGGCTACAGCAAGGGTCATGTCAGCTGTCACCCTCCTCCTGAGATCTCTGCCCTCTGCAGCTAGATGCCTCGGAGTCACACTGTGACACCTGGCCTGTGAGTGAGTAGACTAAGTGGCTCATAGTTCACTCCCAGACGGGGGACAGATTCACAGATGTACACACTGCTCCTTGGATGGGAAAGTGGGTGTGGGTAGCAGGTACCCTATGTGCTTTGTGTCGCACGATGATGAGAAATCGAAAATGTCTCCAGGAAAAGGAATCATCTGTAAATTCAGGAGCATTCCAACTGCTCCGTCACTGTGGCCTCCACTTTCAGTATTGTTTTATTTTTGCTTGATTCCCAGCATCCTGTCTGTCCACACTCAGGCCACAGGGTTTTTTTTTTTTTTCAAATTAGCATACAAAATATTGTGTTTCGTCATGACATACTCATACACACGTGTCACTGGTCTTTGTCTTCTCTGTCCTTAGCCACAGTGCTCTGCCTAGTTCCCCGTCCCTTCTTAGTGGTCCTTTCAACGGTTTCTCCTTCTGCTTTCATGTCACGTGGATTCTATCACCCCTTCTTTCTTAAAAGAGTCCAAGAATAAGAATATAGAAATGTAGATTCCAGAATAAAGAAATGTAAACTTGTAAGCCTAGGAGAAGGAGAGCAGGCTGTCGACAGCTTTCTCAGCAGCTTAAGGATTAACTATTAACAGTGGGCTACTCTGCTTTACAGCCCATAGCTCTGTCTGCAAGGCTGAAGCGGCCCTCTGCAAACTGAGGGTCGGCAGTTTGTATTTGAATCTGAGTTCTACCTTGAGATTGTAAAAATTTTTTGTTCACGCCTAATGCTTGCTTCTTGCTATAAAAAGGGGAGTTGGGAAACAGCCCATTGCCACGGCCTTACAAGCCCAGCCCTGGCTATGATCTCAGCTAGCTGATAAGCTTTTGTGCCCCATGGAGATTTATTTTTTTATTTTTATTTTTTTTCTGGAATAAAGTTTGCTTCTGGTTTAATAGACTTTGGTGGTCTGTCCCCCATCTTTGCGGGACCCCTGTGGACCCAACATTTCTCTTGTTCTTTCCCTAAGATCTCATCCTCTCCTCTCATTGCCTCCTTTTTAGTCTCGTCTCATATCACACACACACACAAACACACACATATACACACTCACACACGCACACTCACACACACATACACACATATGCACACATACAAACACACACATACACACACTCACACGCACACTCACCTACACACATGCACACACATATACACAAACAAACACATACATACGCACGCTCTCTCACACACACATTTAGAGCTAGATTCCACATATGCAAGAGTTTGGCTTTATTTCACTTTACGTCACACCTTTCAGTTTCCTTTCCCTGCACATGTAATAGTTTCATCTTCCTTCCTGGCTGGATAAAATTCCGTTGTGTCTACACACCACAGTTTCCTTATCCGTTCATCTGTCGTTGGGCATCTAGACTGGCTCCATTTCCTAGAGGCTAAGAATAGGGCAGCAGTAAGGATGGTTGTGCAAGTATCTCTGAGGTCTGGTGACAGCGTCATTTGGGTATCTCCCCAAGAGTGGCACAGCCGGGTCACATGGCAGTTGCTTTGTTTTTGTTTGTTTGTTTTAACTTCTAATGTGATGTTGTTTTCTGTCACTGATGGGGAGGCAGCCTAGGACCACATGCTGGTCAAGTGCTCTATCCCTGAGTCACCCCTCCCTCAACCCCCGCCCAGTTGTCACACTGATTTCCATCTTGGCTATACCAGCTCACATTCCCACCCAGAATGTAAGGTTCCCGGCTCTTCCCATCCTCACCAGTGTTTCTTGTTGCTTGTCTTGAAGCCTATGGGAAAGAAGAAGCTACATCTCCCACCCAGAGGTCCAGGGAAAGCTTGCTTTGGCCTCTGAACGCACATGGAAACTTGTCTTGGTCGTCTTGGTCAGTTTTCCATCACTGATGCAACATTTGAGACAATCACGTTTAAAAGGGAAGAAAAGCTTATTTTGACTTTCTGAAGTTTCGGTCCATGCTCACTCTGTCCGCCGCCTCTGGGGCCGTGCCAAGGCAGTGCTTCATGGTGGGAGCAAATGGCAGAGACAGCTGACCGCCTAGTGTTAGCTGGGGAGGGAGGGAGAGGGAAAGGGGCTGGGACTCAACCATTCCCTTCAAGTACAGCCACCGTCACCCCACGACCTTCCTCTAGGTTCCACCTTCTGGAGGTCCTTTCCTTTTTACACGCGAGTCTTCATTCAGGTGGCCTTTACTGAAGCCACAGCATCCTTCCTTGTCAAACCAAAGCACCTTCTAAAGTTTTGGTACGAGGCTCACGAGATCTTAGCGTTGAAGGTCTGAGTTCCTCCTAATCACTGCAACTCAACCCTGCTGTCAGTCTTAGGCGTTAGATCATGTGCTTACCTGTCCCCTCCTCCATGCAAGTCAGCCACTTCTTTCAACAAACATTGCTACAGGCCCAGCACTCACTCAGCCCTGCTCCAGAGGCAGGAGATGATAAAATCAGTGAACAGAAGAGGCAAAAGTTTTCACCTTCCAAGAGCTCATATCCAACAGATAAAGACAGACAAAAATAGGTAAATTGTGTTGATAGTTGGTAGGCAAGAGGGTCTGCAGGGTCAAGCAGAGGGAATAGGATAGAAGGGGCAAGAGACTGAGAGGACAGGCAGGGAAGCCGCAAAGAATCAGGTCCCTTGAACAACAGGCAGTCTATTTCCTTGTTACAAAGTTCTTACTTCAGAGGAAGCAATGCTTTTACCAAAGATTCAGAGACAGTCTTCTAGTTTACTGACATTCTACCCAGGTCTCACTGTGTAGTCCTGGTTGGCCCTGAATGCACAGAGATCGGCCTGTCTCTGCCGGATCTAGGACTGGGACTAATGGCGTGTGCCACCACCATTCCTGACTTAATTCTTGATTGTAAAAGTAAAGGATACATCCAGTGCACCAGCCATTCATGGAGAAGGGCCCTGGACGTCTTCCAAGTCCCCTTCTTTGGGTGCGCCAAGGCAGCCTGGCTGCCATGGCAGCTTCTGCAGTGTCGTTCCTGGGCACATTAGAGTTCTCCGTACTCTCTACAGTAGCCCATCCCCTCAGTTAGTAACCCTCTCTATATAATGTCTCCTGTTCAAGCTGCTGGTGTGGTTTCTGACTGGCACATTCCATTCCACTCAGTGTCAGGATGGGAAATGCTGGAAAGATGAGCGCTGAACGATGTCATTCTCAGGGGTCTATCTTGATAATGAGAGATGAGCTGCTTAGAAATATGATACCTTAATCTATTCCCTTCAAATATCTGCATTCTCATGTCTATCTCTCTATAATCTATATTATCTAAATACTATCTCAGCATCTACTACATATCTATTATTTATCACCTATCTATACCTATCATTTATGTATCCATTACTGAGCAGCAGACCGGAAGAGTAAAGAGCCATGTGTTATAATTCCAGGGTCATTTGTTTGTGCCCCAGAGTTGGGACTAGATAAGGAGAAGTATTGGAACTCACGAGCATGGCGTTTTCTTGTCTGCTGACCTGTGACTGACTTTCCATGAAAGAACACTGGGATCAAGAGTCAGACTCTGGATTGGGTTCCAAAGTGTGACCAAAAAGCTTGTCATGCAGGGGTTTCCAGCAGACTTGTCTATAGAGGATAAAGCAAGGCAGCCCCGGGCAGCAGAAGAAGAAGGGACCATCATGTGGTAACTACTGACCTCTTAGCTGACCCTACAGCTGTGGAGCTGTGGTCACTCTGAAGAGCTATTGTGAACCTCAGTGATCAGGTCATGTTCCTACAGTCTCACATCAGCCATTGTCCTTAGCTTTCTCCTGGGAGGTGGCACTCACTACCTGGAGGACAGAATGAGGGAGGCAGACGCAATGGTCCCAAAGAGGGCATTTGGGCAGGTCCCACAGCATCCTCTGTGGCTCTGGAGGGCTCTAGACTTCCTAAAAATTATGCTTACCCCAAATAACAAGAAATGGAAATGAAAATTTCCAAACCCACAGTGTTGTAAGCCCAGTGAACCCAGGCGGGGGCTTGAGCATATTTCAAAGAGGAAGTCACATGTCCTGTGAGGCCACACTGCCTGTTGCTGCACGTGATCATTTGGCCGGCTACTC